TGATCAGCTGAATCTTCTGGAGCTGATATACCTGGCACTGGTGCTTTCAGTTGTTTTCTGTGATTATGTGTCCCTCCCCTTCCTGTCTCTCCCACCTCCAGTCCCTTCCCTCAACTAGTTTGTAAATTCCTTAAGGGTAAAGCATCTGCCAACACATAACAGGTCCTCAATAAATGACTGTCCTTTAAGGAGCTCTTGTAAGATCCATCACCTCTGTTTTGGTTATACCCCACTGTCAGCAAGCTTGCCATCTGGGATGGCCAGTAGTAGCCTTAGTAAGCCTAGCAATGAGTCTTCCTGACATTTCATGAGCACTAGATTGTCTCTTTTCCTGACTACTTGTCAATTGGTAGACAGGATATGGATAAAGGCCTACTAAAAGGACCTCAGTATGGCTTCTTCTCACGTCTGTCCTAAGGAAACACTGTGCCAGCAATTGAAATTATAATTGCTATGAGTCACAACGTGAGTCACATGGGTTGTCACAGCAACCTATTAACTATATCACCAAAGCACCTCCGTTCGCTTTGCCAAGGAAGGTTTCTGCACTTTCCTGGACTGTGAAAATTATGTGGGTGAGCCTCAAGTTTGAGGTTGCTAAGAGTCTACATTCAAAAAGAATGGCCTCAAGGAAAGGAAAAGAAAACGATAAAATAAGGTTATTCTAGTTCCTGGTTCTCCTGAGTAAATGGCAACAATTGTGACAAATTGGTGGGTTCATTTTGTGGTATCAACAAATGCCTAAGGAGAGGAGGTTGAGGCCTCAAAACTAATTTTCTCTAAGTCAAATTCAAAGCCAAACCTCTGGGGGTGAAAAGTGAATACATTAACCTATTCCACTTTAAATGATTGCAATAAACACTTTTTTTTATGGAGGCAAAAGATTACTCTGAAAGACATATTCAGGTTTGTGCTAAAATATATTTATTATTGGGAACTAAAATCATTATAAATAATAGTGCTTTAATTTTATATATTTGAGGTGTTAGCCTGCTGTAACCAAACAACATTTGAGAATGCACTGTTACCTTTTAATAGCTATTTATGTTAAAATTAAAGTTGTTTTAAAGCTCAGAAGCATATATTTGTATTTTGGGGGAAATATTGACAAATTAACACATTTCCTTGATTTCTTACCACTGAGTAACCCACACTTTTTTAAAAAAAAAACATTTGAACATCTTTGAGTATGAATGAAAGAGGCGGTGCAGGTTTGGATCAGAGTAATAATAATAAGGAATATAAACAAGGCTCAGAACAGAAGGAAGAGGCAATAGTCAGATGTCCCTGGGATAATCTGAAGGCCTCCCAGGCACTCTCTGTCCTTCTTTGTGGTGGCTGTCTTACATATTCCTTAAGGTTATGACTATAATACCAAATTTCCCAGAAGCAGGAAGTAGCTAGGATGTTCTGTTGTTATTTTTTTCATCCTCATATTTGTCCTCTTGAAACATTTTAGTAAATATGAAACTATCCAAGTAGAATTAGATTAAGGAGTCAGGAGTGAATGGCTAGTTGTCCTTGGCAAATAATACAAACCAAAACAGAAGTTGATTCCAAAAAAAAAAAAAAAAAAGATATTTATCCACATGGTACTATTTCATCAGGAAAAAGACCAGAACAAACTTGTGAAACACCAAAGCAAAAGCAATCTTGCAAGTGTCCAACCAAATCCATGTGCTATATAATCACCATGAAAATTAAATTGAAATTCTACACCACAGTGTAAAATTGATCTAATATGTCCCTATCCCACAAGTACAAACTCTCTTTCATGTTCGCACACCAAAAACCAATAGCAACGTTTCCTATCAACAATTGAAAAACATCACAAATGTAAAAATTCTTTGACCAATTTTGTCATGATGACCTTGCACTAAAAGCCCCAGAGCCTTGTCTTCTCCCACCAGCCAACTGGAGTCCAGACACTTAAGGCAGCCTGCTCAGGAACTCAGGTGAACCTGAGTTCTCCCAGGACTATGGTCATGAATTCTTCTGAACAATCAAATGTCCTCTCATGGGAATTTATGGTTCAACTCACCCAAAGTCTTTTTTTTTTTAATAAGCAATATCTGTATTTCCAGATAGCAGGGTGGCCTAAAATATTACAAAGTGTCACAACTATTCAGGTTCATTTTGTAGTTCTTGCACCTCTGACTGGGGGACCTGTGAGCTGACACGCTGGTCTGATAATAGATTCTGCAACTGTACACATTAATTTGTAAGTTGAACAATCTCTCTGTGAGGGCACTTAGGAAACTCAAATTGAAATTGCTAATGTGGGGAGACTTCAGCTGTCGATGATTATGTAGTCAAGTCTTGACCAAGGTTTCCAGAACCTTGGCTAAAAATGGAAATTCTGAGACAGTACAAAAATGAATTCATACACTTCAGTGATAGTGAAACTTCTTGAAGAACAGATGTCAAGATGATTTAAGAGGGGCTGGAATTTCATATCTTTTAAAAAAAATCTTATAGGCAAGTTAGGACAGTTCAGTTTTCAAGAAAAATCCAACAGATGCTAAAGAAGAGGTCATTTGGGTAACTGTTTATTAGAGAAAGAACTGATTGGTTTTCTTCCTCCCCATAAGGTTGGGGCCCTGTAGAGAGGTTAAGATCAGAAATATGATGGGCTGTCTGCTGAGCTGGGTGACAAAAACAATCTCCACGTTTCAGAGGCATGGGGGACTTGCACAGTGCTGTGACTTGGACAATTCAATTTCTCCTTGACACATGCAAAGTACTGGGTCAACGTCTATTCAGGTGCTCTCCTTTCCAACTTGTCATTGGGTGGTTTTATTCTGGGCCTTCTCCCCCAAATCATGGAAGTAAATATATTTAAACAAAAAGATTTCTGAGCTAAATCTCTCTCTCTCTCTTTCTCTCAACCACATAAAGGAACTTTAAGTCCTTCTCGATTAACTTTTTGTTTAATATCTAAACATTTTCCTGCTGATTTTCAAAGTTATAAAAACAAAGTCCACCCACTCTGACTATATCTTGATTTTGTATTAAAGCAGGTATAGCTGATGAAGTTCTTTAAGCCTTTGCTGAAAGGCCCATCAGGTTACATTGCCTGTTATTGGAATATCAATTTTTCCTCACTGGCTGCCACTTTCATGCTGTCACCTAACTCCTTCCATGAGTCCTATTTAACCACAGGTTGTTATTTTCTCCAGCAGGCCAATGACATTATTTTCAGGAAGACAATTGCTTGAATGTCTTTATAGATGGACTGTCTGTATATTAGCTAATATCTATGGTCTTTGACTCATCTTGTGAGTTACAATATATGCTTCATGTCCAATGGAGACAAACTAGTGGTTTTGTCCACTTCTCAAAGAGTCAAATGATATTGCAAATAGTCAGTAGCTTTCTGGATATTGATTGCTAGGTGGCCAGGAGTCCATACCCCAAACCACCATAAACAGTAGGCACAATCAGCAGCCCCTATTTGGGAGAGGCCCAGGACTGAGCTAGCAGAAAGACTGAATTACTTACCACCTCTAGAGTGGGTCCCTCCAGGCCAGGGACGAGCTCATGGGCAAGGCTGTGCAAGGAAGCGCTCTGTACCATGCCTGCCCTGCGGATATACAGAGGACTTCAGTCTCCTGCGCTGTCAATCTCTCAGTCATCATGAGCTCAATTATGCACCGACAACAGCAAGAACAACAAGAACAACGACAAAACAACCCCCAAAAAGCTAAGGGTCACGGACTATCCTGATGGAGGGACAGCCAACTGAAACTGTGCTTTGAGAGATGGAGGTGCCTCCTGATCATGTGTTTACTATGGGCAGGGCCTTTCATTGATCCTCAAACAAGCATTCTGTGGGAGGCCATGAGAGAGCCACATGGGGACTGCACGACTGGGACCTAGAAGGCAGGCAACTTCTCATTGAATTTGATGCTTTTTTTTTCTTTTTCTTTTTGGTTTTTGCATTTTTGTTCTCTACAAATACAGATAGACAGACAGACAAACCCAAGAGCAGATTTCAAGAATCAACTGAGGCACAAGCTGAACTACTTTGATGTTACACAGATTGTTTTCCCCAAAATAATTCACATGAAATAAAAAAGAAATTAAAAAGTATAATTAAGAAAAATTTGGGGATATATCCTTGTCATTCCTATATTGTGCCAAAAAAGCTCCTCTGCTTGCCTTAGAAAGATGCCCAAACACATCTCAAAGGTAGCACATATCGGTGGTCTAAAATAGTCATCAAATTCTAATGACACCATTAATTCAAAGCCTGAATGTTATGCTGGCCAAGTGCAGTGAAAGTTGACTGCCTGTATCAATGACATATTATTTCATCCTGAGGTTCAAGGCACAAACATTATTGCTCAGATTGCAAATCACAACACCTTACATTGACGTGAGTTTGTAAACTTAGGGTGTAGTTTGAATGAAGGCAACTGATGAAAGCAGTTGAACCTGAGAAGTGGGATGAATACAGAGCATAAATCCAGCACACATTTCCACATCAAACTACCGATGCCATTTACCAGGGCCCTCGTGGACCATGCCCATGGTCGAGCCACAGCACCTATATTCCCAGTCAATATCTCTGCTCCACAGACATAAGAACAAAACAGCCTAATTTGGGAACTAGTGGAGAGGAAAAGGAGACCAAAGTTTAAAAGAAATCAAGGTGATGTTTCCTAGAAACATACCAACTCTTCGAAGAAGGATCCAGAGTAAGGGTGTTCAATAAGTAACTGATCCTCCTGGCTAGATTTCATGAATTTTCTAACGATTCATGGCTCAAAACACTAGAATTCAGCAGAATATGTCTAGCCTCTCTCTTCAACACACACTCAGTACAAACAGGTGGAGATGTGCCACTTCCGACCACTACAGGTTGAAAATATGACCTCTGTTGAGCATGGATCACAGCTGGAACATTAGTTTATACTCGAAGGGTCACAGCAGCCAGACATATGCGAATTCCAACTCTTCAGAAAACTTTGGACAAAAAAAGTAAATGCATTACTTACATGTATGTGTCTTCTTCGTTACTGAGATACCTGGAAGAGAAGAAACAATGACAAAGGTAAGAAAGTGTCCTCTCTGAGCTCTGTTGATTGTACATCATTCCAGTGTATGCCCAGAACACCATCTTGGTCAGATGGCAATGCATAGCACCGTCACCAGACCTACCCAAAGTCATGCAACTGAAAATGATAAGAGACTGTGAGCATTACCCATTGGCCTAAGAGTTTCTTTAAGAAATAAGATGGACAGTCATGCAACAGGGTGAAACAGGATGAGAGAAAGTTCTTGTTTCTTTCTTGTAAATCGGGAAGATGATCACATTTAGAGGCAGAGATTTAAGGGAGACATTTAAGATGCAAGAGAGCAACACCAACCTACTCAGACAAGAGGCAAACTGAGCAACGGAGCCATTAATTTGGTATGGCCATTGATTCTGTGTTTACTTTTTAATGAAAATGACTCTTCTTGCTCACACGAAGCATAGCTTTTAATGGTGAGGAAAAAATTCTTCCACAAAATGTACCTATGTGTCCATACTCATTAAGGTCACCTGGAGAATGACTGCTTCCTCTCTGCAAATGGCAGCAAAATGTATGGGACATAATTGCATGGAAATATGAAGGATTCATGAGTCAGCACCTTTGATGTTTCCAAGATGATTGACAGATGGCAGGTGGAGAGTGGAACTAAGCAATAGTTGCACGTAAGAGCTGATAGAGATAGCAAGGATGCATGTTTCAATACAAACAATCCTATTTCCAGTTCAGAAATACTACATCTTGAACTCATCTTATGCTTCATTCTTCTTGGGAGATATTCTCAAGACTAAATAGGCTCAAAGTAATAAAACTGTTGAAAACATTTAGCCTGTGACTAAGAACTGTGGTAAACCTTGAATTTTTTTTTTCTTTCAAGTTATTAGGAGAACTATTTAACCCTCTTTTGGAAAGTAAAAGTTGTTGAAAAATTTGGCATCCACATGAGACCTATTACTTAACTATGGAACATGTCGTACAGGGAAGAAATCTGTTATGAAAAATCCGTGGTAGACATTAAGAAAAAAAAGTTAGTTCCAAAGTTGTGTGCCAAGACCAAAATCACACACTTGCTCCCCCCACAATTTTCCAAAGGCCTTTTTTAGGGAAGCTGAAATTACATCGCCCAACTCAAATTTTTTTTTCCTTTTTATTGAGGAAAACTATATTGTTTTCCATCATGTTTGAGTTGGCTTTGCAAAGTGAAGTTAGAACCTTCTGCAAAGATCTTTGCAGGCTCTCTCAGATGGGAACCACAAAAGTGTTCTAGAATTTTTTTGAAGTAACATTTATCACGGGAAGGCCACCTCCCCCAAGAACAACAGTGAGTAAAGTTAAAAATCTGAATACAATTTGGAACTCTAGCTTATGATACCAGCACCAATAAATTGATACATTAGTGCATTTCAGCACTATGAGAACCCTGTGTGTACTTTCCTTAGGAAATGGAGCTTTCTGTAAAATCACTTTGAAGAGAAAGTGCTTAGGCTGTCACTCCTGATTATTCAAAACCTCCACACAATTGGATTTAACACAGCCCAAAACAGACCTATCTATATTCGCTGAGTGTGGAACTATTTTCTCCTGACATCCAAAGGACTGATGAAAATACCACTGCTTTGCCTTTTCTACTTAAATTTATTATACAGCGTGAGGCAGTGTTCTCATCAAATATTTTCATGATGATTACATTGATAATAGATTTTAAGATTCTTTCCAGGAAAGCTGCCTGATCTTGGAGGGCATGATAGTAGGCACAGAGCTAAAACTTCCAATATCTGTCTCCAGAAGAAAGTATAATAACTTCAGCAACAGTATTTAAAGCATTTAGAGAACTGAGAGTAGAGAGGTAGGCTCCAGGCAGTAAATCCTTAGTTTTTTTGAACTGTCAATTAATGCTCAATATAAATAATGTGAGGTTTGTATTTACAGGGTTGCCTGATTTAGCAGATAAAATAAAGATGTCCAGTTAAGCTTAAATTTCAGATATTAAGTTGTTTATCTTAAATTCAAATTTTCCTGGCCAACCTATATATTATCTGACAATCCTAACCTGTACAAATATAATGTAAATTATATTTATCATAGAAAATATAGATACACTAAACCATCAATATAAACATTTTTATGAAGAAAAGCTTAAAGACATACCCCTCTCACAAAAGCACTGTTTTTCAAAAGGTATATTTCAACTCCTAATTATAGAGATGGGACTGCATTACATATATATTTTTACTTAGTAGCCATTTTGAAAAGGAGTTCTATTTTCCTAGAGTAAGTGAACAAATAAAAACAATGCAAACACACAAAAGATGAATTTAATACTCAGAAAATATATTGGTGCTCCCTTGAAAAATAATCCTTGTTCTAATGCCTTGAATTTGTTTCCCTTTTCCCATAGAAGTTCTTATACTTTACAGTAAATGACTCCATAGAAGTATCAAAAAGAAAAAAAAAATAAAGAAGAAAATAACCTTATTTCACAGATGGGGAAACTGAGGCTCAGGGAAGTTTAATGAGTATAATAAAAAGTTTCTCTGTGGAAGTAAATATCAGATGAGAAGCAAGCCTTTGCCAATCTTTAAAATAGATTATATTTTGTATAATATATTTATAGAAATTACCTCTAAAAAGAGTACATACTCATAAGAAGATTTACTGCCTGGAGCCTACCTCTGTCAGTTCTTTAAATACTTTAAAACCATGGGGCCATGTCCTCAGCCTTATCTAAACCAGGAAGCCTCATCATGGGCTTGAGTGAAAGATGTAATCAAACAGACACTGATGCAAACTTGTAGAAACTGCAGTCCCTTTAACTGGAAGACAGACTGAGTTGATTTGAGAAGATTCCAGAGCATTCTAGAAGAAAGAGAACATTCTAGAAATCCAGCTGCCTCAATTACCTACCCCCGTCTCCCTGGTCTCCATTCATAGCAGGCTTGTGTGCCCTGCTTTGCTACCAGCAACTGTTTTCTCACTCTTATGTGGTGGGAGAGAGGGGGTGAGTCTCCTCTTTTCTTTCTCTTCCTATTTTTCAGAGGTTTCAAGATTCCTGTCTTTCTCACCAAGAATAGCACTTATCCTCAGCCAGATCACAGAAGTCATACATTGTGATTTTTTTCTCTTAAGTGGAGGAGAAAAGACCTTCAGAAAAATACCTTATCTGAACATAATGGTAGCAGCAACACCTCTGAACCAAGAGATTCTTGGAGAATTAAGTTTTCTAAGGACAAATTACCAGGATTATTAAGGAGGCAAATACCTCTAATATTCCACTCAGGAATAGAAAGGTATACCTTTTTTAAAGTCAGTTCTTAAAAGAACTGTATCTGGGGGCAAGCTGACCTGAGTGTGCATATGTAGCCCACCTACTTTCCAGCCTCTCAATGAGATACCTTGGGCAAATTACTTAACTTTTCTGAACCTGAATTTCTTAGTCTTTAAAATTAAAAATAATCACCATAATACTTAAAGACTATTGTGAAAAAGTGAATTAATAGCTTTACAAACTGAGAAATGTGAATATGTTAATATAAATGTTAGTTATTGACTTTGGTAAAGGATGAGCAATTTGCACAGTATTATTTTAATAAAATTGAATTATCGTGTTCTCCTAAGAGCTATGCCTTCACCTCCCATAGTATCCCTGGGTTTCACACTGATTCAGGCCCAAGTATGTGCTTTTTCAGCTCAACTGCTCTGACTAGAAAATGTCTTCATTTTTGATGGAGAAGAGCTGCGATAGATAGAGACCCAAGTTCCAAAAAAGTAAGTGTACTCTTTTCTAGACCCTGAGCTCCATTTTGATTTTTGTGCTCTGTACAGTCTAGGAGGTTGCTGATCAGTGAGGACAAAGGACATTGATCACCACCACCAAAGGGTGTAGAACCAAGCCTGGCTGTTGTGAAGGTTTTGATTCACTTCCAAATGACTGGGAAGAACACCAAGATCCTTCCTCAGAGATTCACAAACAGCCCAGAGCAGAGTAATGCTCTCTACAGAGAAAGCGACTTCATAGAGTTGTGGTGAATGATGGGGTGGACCCAAGTTTCTAAACACAAAACACCCCTCCCCCAGCCCCAAATGAACCCAATTGGGAAATCATTTAACTTCTCTGGGCCTTTGTTTTCTCATCTGTGAAAGAGGTAGTTGAATTGATGGTTTTTAAATTTCCCTCCTAGTTGCCTGATCAATGGCTCTTGCTTTCCTTCTAAGTTATCAAACCAACCACCTCTTTCTAAGCCAACAGGCTGCCAGATCTCTCTCACACTGTTAAAAAAAAAAATCCGAGGTAGAGCATAATAAAAGGTAACCCCCTGAAAATTTTTCTTCTTGCCTTAGAAAACCAAAGAGGAAAGAAGGCAGTACTCACAATAGGTTATGTAAGTAAGAGATACACTTCTCTGGGGGAATCTTTTAAAATGATCTGGGCTGGAGAAAAATGGCATGTTTTGATGAAGTTGCCAGATGCCTTATTATTTCTCTCTCTCTCTCTCTCTCTCTCACACACACACACACACACACACACACACACACACACACACACCAAGGGCATTTCCAGGTAATGCTTTAAAGTACTTTACAGTATATCAGTAATTTTAGATTGTCAATTAAAATCACTAAAAATAAGAGGAAAAAAAACCCAAAAACTCCACGAATACTCTACCCAAAGTAGGGCTTCTAATATAGCAAGATTGCCTGACTCAATTGCACCAACCATGCTTCAAAGCAAAGCAAAGGAAATGTCATGAAAATACCACAAATTTGTCACTGTCATGCTTATCAGCAGGGAAAAGTTTCAGAGTTATAGTCATCCCAGGAAAGAGCACTTTAGGAATGTAATCTCATATTTCCAATCAGTGCCAAATCTTGGACCAATTAACTTCCTTTTTGGACTTCTTATTGTCTCTTGGTTTCTAACAATTGTCTGGATACCAAGTTAATTTTAACCTTTTTTTTTTTTTTTGCTTGGTAAGAGAAGGCATCTTTCCTCCTCC